GCTGAGGCGCACAGGGGAGATGATCATCTGCAACACAAACAGGGGGTAGTGCAGCCTGATGTGTGCAACCCACTCGACAAGGGAAACCACCACCGCTGAAGCGCCATACAACCAACACCAAGAGCTCCAAAGAGCGTGCTGAACTCGTTCAGTCTTCTCTCAGTAGAGTAGTCAGGAGCAAAACTATGTGATCGCTCGGCTCCGAAGCGAAAAGCTGAGTATGCGTTGCACCTGCTGCCTAGTGTGACGTCTTAGTGAGTTACTCTGTGTTTATTCCCAAGTCACAGGTGATTGGCTGTCTGCAGGTGATTGGCTGACGTGGCGCTGCACCTGGATTAAATCAACTGGTCTTAAAAAGGACTTGCAGGAACCATGAGGAGAGAGGAATAGTTGTTTGGCGTTGGTGCATGAGTCTGCCAGAGAACTCACGGTACGTAGAGGTTATGGGAGTTCGCTGTTGCATTGGAGAAGTTTCTGCCTTGATTCATCTCCCTCTAAATTGGACGTTTGGTTTTGAGTTTTGTTATTGATGTTTGCTTGGACTGATGTCATTGGTATACCTTACAGATACTTCCTGACATACTGACTTTCATTTACACTGACTACATTACATGTTTATTTTACTTTGTAAATAAATTTATTGTGTTAAGCAGTGGTTGTGTGCGGCGTCTCCCTGGCTTTTGTTGCGATCTGAGAATAGTAATCGTAACAAATGGTTATTTGTTACGATTACTATTCTCACGATTACTATTCTCATTCTACATGTAATGTAGTCAGTGTAAATGAAAGTCAGTATGTCAGGAAGTATCTGTAAGGTATACCAATGACATCAGTCCAAGCAAACATCAATAACAAAACTCAAAACCAAACGTCCAATTTAGAGGGAGATGAATCAAGGCAGAAACTTCTCCAATGCAACGGCGAACTCCCATAACCTCTACGTCCCGTGAGTTCGACGTCATATCATTATAGACTGCACAATAGTGCCACAACATATGTTCATGTCTGATCAGGGCGATAACTACCATAGACATTGAGGGGGGCTAGTCCCCCTAATAATTATAAATCGCTAAACCCTTTTCTCAAATATCGCCAATTCGAGAGAGAGAGAGAGAGAGAGATGAAAGTTGCAGGGGGGCATCAGGTGAGCAAGCTAGTGAAACGTTGCACGCGCAAAAGAGAAGGTCTGCACACATCCAAAAACGTATTTTAAATGCAAAATTGATTTCCGTGCGCTCGAAAGACTTTTCGCAATCTTTCTTTGCAGATCGCGCGCGTGCAAAATGCACTTTTGTGTGCTCAAAATATGATCTTTCGCGCGCAGAATTGTGGCAGAAATGTAAGCCCATAAAAAACCGCCATAAAGTCTTGAGACATGTTTTTTAAAAGTTGAACTTACATTAATTTTACATGGCTTTCTAAACATGCCGCTCTCTTGTGCGAGACGCGAGGGCAACGCTGATAGATGCCCCGCTAGAAAATGTGATAAATATGCGTTGTGTGCAGTTTTTGGCTCAATAATATAAAATGTGCGGCTATTATTGTGGCTCATCCAGTCAGAATGTCTATCCATTTTATAAATTAGGTTTACTTTGCGCAAAGGTGACATTACATGTACTTATAAAAATCATAATCATTGAACATGCTCAGAAGTTAAGTGTTAGTTTATGCGCACAGCCAAAGAAAACTAGACATGTACAGATTGACATGTCAGTGGAGCAGACGAAGGGGGACAAGAGACTGAAGTGTCAAAGCAAAAGCAAAAATATAATGCAACCATCTTGAAAACTACAGCATGCAACCCCCAAAGGTCATTTTAAAATTCCAGAATTTTAGTTTAATTCGCACATTTAAACAATGACAAAGAGAAGTAGCACTAGGATGGGAAGAGCCCCTCTAGTACCTCCCAAAACAGCACTTATAATTAAAAGAATTCAATGAGAAACTTTGCGTTCATTCTAAAATCTCTGACTCTTGACTGAAAACATTTGCATTTTTGAAATCTATGCAGAATGTGTGACTCTGAACTTGCAGTGGCACATTTGAGATTAAAAGGTCGTTGTTTCTCAATTTAGCATAAGCCTCTTGCTCTCAATTTAAACTGATTTAAATTAGATTTTAAAGAGACTTCATTTGAGTTTATTCTTTTCAACTGTTTAGGCTTCACACTGCAGTCTACTAGCACAATATGGGAGTTGGGTTCAAACTGACTTGACGGTTGTTCACATCAAGCAGCTCTGAAAAGGAATTTGACAGATTACACAACAGATCCATCAAACTACACTAAGCTGAGAGCACAAGTCTGCTGCTATCTGACAACTGGGTTAGGGTTAGGGTCAACACACTTTTTTGATGTGTTGACTGCCCCTGTCAACACATCAAAAAAGTTCTTGAGGGGCTGCCTCAACTTACTAGGAGGAAAAAAAAAAGAAAAAAAATCTGAAACGACTAATCAAGAACTCATGCATGCATACAAAATAAGATCTCTTTGCTTATGATCTGCATGACTGGAAACT